CTGGCATCCTGAAGTCGTGGGAGCGGAACCCAGCAGGGGTCCGCTGGAAGGCGCACCAGGGAGGAGACCCAGATGGTCGAAACGCCAGCATCTGGTGCTTTTCCAGATTAGCCTAAGCCTGCGGATTGGGAGTGGCGATGATGAATTAGCTAAAGAATAAAAATGGTATAGGTAGAAATTCGTCACAACTAGACTCACTCAGACAGACAGGGTCCAATGGAATGCGCACTGCTGACGATTCCTGAAAGGATGAAACGCGCGTACAGTGCTTTTCCGGGCGTATGATGGCTGTCTGAGTGAGTTTAGATGTGACGAATTTCGACCTACGCCATTCAACGCCCCCTACCACTCCTCTGTAATCAGTACGCAGACCAAACTGCTTATAATGTCATAAGTTAATTGGCGGCTTAAGTTTGGTAAGCTCGTCGCTTAATGAGGGGGCTACCCTGTCCTCTGCACGGCAGTAACGTGCAAGTCAGTGGATAGTGAGTAGCGCTATATCCAATCTAGTAACTTATTTACGATGGTCGTTGTCGTCTCCCGTAGCTCAGTGGTCTCAACCACGGACTAGCAACAGTCCGTGGGCATGTGATGGCTGTTTGAGTGGGTCTAGATGTGACGAATTTCTACCTGTACCATTTAACTCCCCCCACTACTCCTCTGTAATCAAAATGAAAATGATTGCGCGGAGTTACGTTGGCTGGTCGAATATCGACACGGAGCTGGAATAGCTAACGAAATCGTGTCCGAAAGGTGCGCGTGTAAGCAAGGCGCCCAGGAAAACGGAATTGTGTTCGTGGCGGTTGTCAACGAAACCGTGGCAGCGAGTACACGTGGATTACTTTGGTCCCGTGAATGGACAATAATATCTCATCGTTGTTGATTCCTTCAGTAAGTGGCCGAAAGCGTTCTGCATGAAACGCGTAAAGTAGCGCAACCATTGGCGTACTGAGAAGAGTTTGCACCCAACATGGAATACCAGAGACCCTGGTTACTGACAATGGCCCTCAGTTCGCATCTTTGCAGTTCGCCGAATACTGTACGCAGAACGGTATCACACACCTACGCTCGCCGCCGTTCCACCCGCAGTCCAATGGGCAAGCTGAGCGCTTTGTTGATACCTTTAAACGGACGTTGCTGAAGATGAGGGGGGAAGGAACTACCCAAGAGATATTGGATGTTTTCCTTCTACTGTACAGATCAACTCCGAACCCCCAGGTGCCAAATCAGCTGTCCCCAGCAGAAGCGCTTATGGGCAGGAAACTCCGTACTCTGAATTCCTTGCTGCTTCCAAAGCGTATCGCTCCGCAAGAGAGGAACGTGAGAATGGAAAATTACTTCAATCAGCGGCACAGGACGCAAGTACGTCTATTTCACCCAGGACAGAGTGTTTTAGTCAGAGACTATCGCCCTGGAAGACCACAGTGGACCACAGGCTCGATCGACTGCAGACTTGGACAAGTGCTGTATAAAGTTCGAGTGGGTTCTATGATTTGGACCAGACATGCAAACCAGCTGCGGCCTACCAGCATTCAGATAGCTACCAGTGAACGATCGCTGCCACTGGATATTCTGTTGGACACTTTCGACATCACCCTGGAACTCAGGAGCCACCTACTGAGCCTTGCTCTGTGAGCACAAAGGAACGAGCTTGCAGCCACGACGATAGACTGATCGGATACGAAGGTCCGTGGTCAGAATGCAGCTGGACCACAGGAGGAAGTTGTACGTCAATTTTCGCGAGGGAGGTGTTACCGGAGCCCGTCCATTTCAGCTATCGAAGCTAACTCTCTATCTCTGTCTGGAGCACTCCGGGGAAGATTGGTTGCATGCCGGCTGCAGCCGATTGGCTAACCAATGGCATCGTTTTACCTTAAGGTGGAGCAATCAGAATGACTTACCTTAAAGCCTTTCAGTAAGCACACTACTTGCTCAGCTAACAAGCGAGATTTTGCGCATCTAGTAGTTGCTATAGTCAGGAACTTTTAATTGGGTTTTCTCTCTCATGAACTATTTATTTCGACCCAATATTTTGGCTGTACATTCTGTCTTCCGAGTGCTCCATACGAGTTCAGCCAGAGGCCTTTGCTTTTTTTGATTTGCAAGTGCCTATATCGTGGCTAAAGTGGCTGCATCGGTTATCCGTACTGTCAGCGGAAACACAACAATTCACATTCTCCTGGAGCCAATAATCGAGGTAGAGGGTGTTAGACAGGCAGCCACCTTGTCAACATTCACAACAAGCGCAGCCACACCGTGGATATCAAACCGCAAACATAGAATTTGCGGGAAAGTAAACAAACAAAATTGACACAAAATATGCAGCAAAGTAACAGAATTGAACAAGCCAAATAAAGAAGAATGACTTACCCAGATTAATAGGAATTAGAATAAGTGCAAGTTGGTTTAGTCCAACTGCGGTGAAGAAGCATTGTGAATGCAACATCAACCTCAGCATGAGGTTACTGGTTAACTTGCGATATTTTGTGCAATTGCCGACCATACGTGCTTGTACTATCATGATCATGCTTTTGCAGACGTGCCTAGTATTGCTGAGAATAAATCGTTAGTTTATTTAATAGTTTATTCAATCCACTTCAAATCAAGCTGCTTATCTGTCTGAATTCTCGACTCGTTGGTGTTAGCATTTGATAATAGTGACACAAATGGCATTAGTCTAACCCATCTTACTGATATCACACGACCATAGTTGCTAAACAAACTTATCATAAGAGCATAGCACGTTCAACTTACTTTTTCGAGGCGCTCTGGATTCGGCATTCGCTCCAGGCATCGATAGTGTTCAGCTTCCATCGTCATTAACATGTTGCGTTCCTTTAGTAGCACGTACCACAGTTTGTGCAGATCCGCGTTGCTCTTAATTCGCAGCTCATCTTTTCGCCAAGGTCGTCCGCTTCGAACGGAGGCATTACCCCAGTTCTCTCTACGGTCGAAAAATTCTTCCAATCCCATCTGGGATACGTTATTTGGAGTTGAAGCCGAGTAGGAAGCCAACAACATGGGAAGTCCATAAGACGGAACAAAGTTAGTCAAGCGCTGTAACAGGGGCCGTATGATGTTCAGCATAAATAACGAAGGACTCTACAAATGAATAAAAACAATCCTTATCAGTCATGTATGTACAAGACAAATACATCAATGAAAATCATTCGACTTCATTCTACGCAGTAGCTAGAAAAGAGAAACACCCTAGCTATTCTTCTGCAATACAGCAGAATCAGGTGGCAGTAAAAAGAAAAAAGTAGAAAAGCGAAAGAAGAAATATTATTATGCTTTGTTATATATTATGCAATAACAAAAATCGCAGTTGAAGGGGAAACTAAGTGAGGGAGTAGGGTAAGGAAATGAAACGAAGATGCCATGGTGGTTGGTTTTTGCCATCTTAACAAGCGCATCCAACCAAAGGTGTTCATTGTCTTTCGGACCTCAACTAGAGAATCTAGGCTCCAATTGGGGCCAATTTCGAAGTGAGAGGCTTCATTCCACTTGAACAAGCCATCGTTCGGCCTACTATCTTCTTCTTCCATCCAGATGCCTGCCGCGCAAGCAACGCAAGTCGGGGGAGTCGGCGTGCTGAAATGCGTGGCCTAGTCATCGGAGCTTGGTGAGTTAAACAATGGTGCTGAGCTTTCCCTTTCATATGCTACGCGGTAAACAGGTCACTGAACACGCTCATTTTTCACGCAGTGTTCCATTCAAAAGTGAGCTAATATGCGAAGGCACTAGTAGTTGGACGCAACTAGCCTCTTTACATTTAGAGCTAGGTTTCACAACGATACAGTAGGGTTGGACGGATGACATCACACTTTAAGGCGATAGTGATGTCACGCTGGTGCCATGAGTGCCGAAGATGGGCAAAGGCATCAGGTAATTTGCTACACCGTTCGTGAGCTCATCTTCGATTCCACAGCTGATAGCTTCGCAAGCAGTCGAATTGCTGAATGAGTTCTAGCTGATCCCCACCAAGAGTCAGTGCAGGGTAGGTTCCTGCTAATCTTAGAGGAAAGCTTTGCGTTTGAAGTATGAAAACCACAGACGGAAACGGCTGACAGCCAGTGCTAATCTTTCCAGTGCCGCTTAGCAGGATTGTGACCTGTTACAGATGAGAGCAATATCGTCGGCGTACTTCAAGTCGATCACCAGGGAGCAGCCCCACACTTATTAAGCCTTGTTCAGTGAGCGCATTTTCTACGAGTCGATCAATAGCTTTTTAACTGTTGTGAGGTGACAGCCGGTATCCCTGTCTCACACCGCTAGATATAGTGAAAGGCGTCGACATTTTCCATGAGCACTCAACCCATCTTAATAATGAGCGTAAAGCACCCTTATGATATTTGCGTATTTCTCGGGCTCATTATTCCTGATCAAAAATTCCTAAAGGACACATCATTCCACCGATCCAAAGGCACCTCGATATCGAATAACACCACGAGGAACGCTCACGAATACAAATGGCGGTGCGCCAATAACTGGCGCAAAGTAAAGTTGTGGTCAATTCAATCCCAATTTCGGCAAAATCTGGCCTGCCTCCATGAAGTTGGTTTTCAAGCCATGCAGATCATGCGGAGTCTACTGTGATTGCTGCATTCTGAGCGTGAGTCCATCGGGTAAATCAGGACAAGAAAAGTAGCTCCAATTGGTTGGGACAGTTTCCTGCTACTCGATTCATTAAAATATCCTGTAAATGATACACAAGAGCAGGTCCCCTGAATTTGAAGAGGACTAGAGGAAGTTCACTTGGTGTCACAGACTTAATTACAGCAGTCCGATCCCACTATCATATTCTGCATGAGAAGTGCGGTTTAAAAAGACGACCCACGGAGTGGAAGGATCACTAGCAAACAACGAGTCTAGTAGTTCCGGCTGATTAAATTGCATCTCAAAGTGTTCAGCTCAACGCTCCAAAGGTTTTGACAGGTTGTGTACACTGCCAATGGAGTCTCAATAGAAAGATGTGAAACCCTCAGCCCCATCTTTTCTCCTGGAATGAGAATGGGTTATTGTCGTCCAAGATGTACTTTGCGGCAGCATTCTTATGCACCCGATAATACTTCTTTATCACCGCACAAGTTTAGTCGCGATTATCTTGCGGAATTGGTGTGCGCCCGGTTGAATGTACCCTTTTACATTTCTACCTGAGTGCAGAGTCGTCTTCCATGTATGTTACAAATTATCTCACCGAGGCTAAGGCTTTACGTCCTTAAACCTAGGGGCAGACAGAGCAAGACCGAGGAAGGGGAGGTGAGGTCTGAATGATGTATCAAATAATATAGAACGTGGCGCAATAGGTCGATGCTCCAAATATCTTCAGAAATGCAATCCTGGAGTCGTAGCCATGTGAGCTTGGCACAGCCCTAAGGAATGGAAATTACCACGCCCATCGCATCTAACACAAGCATGTGCGGAATTCTGACACTCGAGTAAAGATGAATATGCAAACCCATGGTTACCTCCAGCATGAATTTCTAGGAACTTCTTGTCACCCAAATGAGAGGATGAAGACAGTTCATGATAGGTGGAGACAGAAAGTGCGTCTGTGTCGAGTTCCACTGAGGTAACAGATCGCATTCCATAAGGAGAGGGGGATCACATTCTGCAACCGGAGAAACATATTGCTGTACGATCCATGGATTTTAATCTTCATACCCCAGCTTCAAGACTAGGGTACTGCCAGGGTTGGAAGTACCATAATTTGGTGGTGTATTATGAACGTGATCCCGGGCCCGTAACCTAGAGGTAACTAACTGATCTTGTAATCTGATCGTGCGGGTTCGAACCTGCGTAGGGCCAGGGCGACCCTCGCACGAGCCCATATGCGACCGGTGGTGGTTGCGCGGCAGCGAGGCACCGCTACGGCGTACTGCTGATGCCTCCTTTTGTCCCTGCATTTATAAATCACATGGTGTAGCCGACATCGTTCGAAGCGTTCCGGCTGTTACCTGGGAAGAATCACTCAAACCACCGAGCCACTTGCAACCAAGAGAAGAACTCCTACCCAATTGTCGCTACCAGGAGGATTTCATGATGGCAATTATTAGTGTTTCATTGCGTCTATCCGGAGATGATGCAGTTTCGCGTGTCGACCAAGCCAGTGTTGGTATTACCCCGAGTCCACGGGCTGAAACTGTTCTGATTGATTGGATCCCGATCAGTAGCCGGATGTGTGCGGTCCGACTGGTTGGCTCGTTCAAAGCTTCGAGGTCGTGCGGGACCAATATGTGTCTGTACGTTAGCGCCGTCTGCGCGCCCACTGATGAGCTACATCTAGGCGGCCAACATGATGAAGGCTCTTGTAATGATAACGGCGAGCGGTTGTTTCATTTGTGTGAAGATGGTCGCTTGTTTCTCGCGAGTACAAACTTTCGCACATCACCCGCTGGTGCCCACTAGCCTCGAACCAGCCTTGGACGCAAATCGACCACAATGGGATCAGTTACCGATGGAGAGGCTGTGTCCAAAACTGTCGCTCGATCTGGAGCACATGTGTGGACATGAACCATGCATTTGTTAGTGCTGATGCGTCCACGACGGCATTATGAGCGCACTGACAATAGCCAACTGGCGAAGCCACCTTTTCTGAATGCGTATCTAAGTACGCTGGCATCCGGGCTGAGTAAGCGCTCACTGAAAACAGTTGAAGATCACTGGTCGCATGTTCACCAGACCTTACTAGCAGCAGCCAAATTTTCATGTGGTTAGTCTACTAGCCAATATGGATGTTGAGCCTCGTCGCGATCTCCGGAACTTATCGATGCGCGCCAACACATTCCGGCTAGCAAAGACCTCAGGGAAAAACTGTGTGCTAGCTTGAAGAGAGACTACGAATCCTGGTGGTCTCATCGTGAGTCAGAGATGGAAGTGGCCGCTGTTTTTGATGTGGGAAACGGGCAGCATAAAACCGAGTGTTAATGAAACTATATGTGACAAGAGTGGAAACCTATCGACAACTTGTCAACGTTTGGAGCGTTGGGCTGAGCACTTTGAAACGTAATTTAATCAATCGAAATTTGTCAGATTTCTCGCCGGCCACTGATCGGCCTGCTCACTGGGCTGTCCCTTTGGACCCGCCCAATAACCCAGAAGTCGAACGCGAGATTGGACTGTTGAAGTTAACTAAAGGCGCGGGACGAGATGATGTTCCACCAATTCCGGGGACCTGCTCTTGTTGATGATTCACGAGCTAATAGTGAAAGTGTGGTAACAGTAAATTGTCTCAACCGACTGGAGCAGTTCCGTCATAGTCCCAATCTTCAAGGGAGGCTCACGTTCGGAATGCGGCAACCACAGGGGATCCAGTCTGATCTCCATCGCCACCAAATTGCTTGCCTATATCATCCTTCACAGTTTAATTGGCATTGGTGAAAGCCAGATTCGTGAAGAGCAAGAAGGGTTTTGTCGAGGTCAAGGCTGTAACGACCACATCTATACTTTGCGTCAGTGATTAGAGCACCGTCACATACGTTGGCGACCAACTGTTGTCGTGTATCACGCCATCAAAGAGGCTTTCGATTCAGTTGATCGATGCGCCTTTTGAGACTGTCTATACAGGAAAGATATGCTCAAAAATATGCAAACATTATCCGATCGGTATACGCGTGTAGCTTGGGAAGAGTGAGGATGTACGGCAACGTGTCGCCTTCCTTCAATAACTAGCTGTGGAAGACAACGACGCCCGCTGTCACCTCTCCTCTTTGACGTCATTCACAGGACACGACCTGAAAAGTGTGGAGCTGGCCAAGGCGAACGAGTTCTTAAGTTGGAGCATGCTGACGACATGGCCCTCATCTGTGGCAGCACACAAAGGTGCCAAGCGGCACTGGACAGACTACCGCTGGCGGTCAGCCGTTTCGGGCTTGTTTCGCACCCTTAACGTGCAAAGCCTTGCACCGAGATTGGCAGGGACAACTTCTTGTCCTGACTCTTGGTGGGGATCAAAAAGAAGTCGTTCAGGAATTCAACTACCTGGGAAGTTGTATCAGCGCCTGTGGAATCGAAAAGGTCACGACCAGTATAGCAGAAACCTCGAGGTGCTTTTGCCGACCTTCGCCACCTATGGCGCCGGCGCG